CAGTACAACCTCGAAAGCTACGACAATCGTTGGATGAGTTGATGAATCAGCTGAAACATCTACCCGTCAAATATAAGAGCTATAAAAGTTATGAATATGCGAAACAGATGATGCATAATTATTCGAAGGTAAGTGAATGCTCCGCTTGTGCCGCAATATCGTAATTTTGGACAATTCTGCGTTTAGATGAATATGCTTGTTATGGAACTGAAATCTGAAGCACTAAAGGAACGTCATTGGCGCCAGATGATGAAAGAACTACGAGTCAATTGGAATTTATCTGAGCTGACACTCGGCCAGGTGCATATTTTTGTTCCTTTTTTAAATTTCCGAAACTACTCACAATTTCTCTTTTTCTCGGTTTTTGTTCTCAAAGCTTTTTCTTTTGTATCTGAACAATTCACTGTACAGGTCTGGGATGCTGACCTTCAACGTCACGAACATGCTATAAAACAGATCCTTCTTGTAGCCCAAGGAGAATTAGCGTTGGAAGAGTTCCTAAAGCAGGTATGTTAAGCACCGTGGCCTGCAGCAATTCGAATCACTTCATTTTTCTTTCTAGATGAAAGAATTCTGGCAAGCTTACGAAGTGGAACTTGTTAATTACCAAAATAAGACTAGACTGATCAAAGGGTGGGATGAACTGTTCAACAAGTTGAAAGAACATCAAAATTCGTTGGCTGCTATGAAGTTGTCCCCTTACTATAAGCAGTTCGAAGAGGTTGCTAACTTTTTTTTTCCAAAATTTTGCTTTGGTTCGGAGAATTTTTTGTTTTTTATAGAATGCCTTATCGTGGGAAGAAAAGCTGAACCGCATTAGTGCCATGTTCGATGTATGGATTGATGTGCAACGACGTTGGGTGTATCTGGAAGGGCTCTTCTCCGGATCAGCTGATATTGCAACGTTGTTGCCAATAGAGAGTGCTAGATTCTCGAGGTAAATACTGTTTAAGAAGTGGAAACATGGGGAGAAAGTCAAGAAGTTCATCAATTTTCATAGTTGGCTACTATGATCCCTTAAATATACTTCATTTGGCTTATAAGAGAGTTTCACAATAATACTTATTGCTGTTTGTTGGCTAGGATTAAGTGCTTCGACGAAAATCACAGTAGCCATAAAGAAATGTCTACCAGTGAAGAAATCTTCTAAGAAGTTTACATTAGAAAGTCTGTTGCAGTATTTCCACCGAATTCCTTGCCCTTATGAAGAAAGTTACGCAGTCACCACGTATCTTGGATGTAGTCGGAATGCAGGGAGCTCAGCGACTTTTGGACAGACTAGCAGATATGCTGTCAAAAATCCAGAAGGCTCTCGGAGAGTATCTAGAGAGGGAAAGAGCATCGTTCCCAAGGTATGGCATTTTGATTTTTTTTTTGTGCATTTCGTGAGATTTTGTTTTTAATCTTTCCCTTTGAGGTTCTACTTTGTGGGTGATGAAGATCTGCTCGAGATCATGGGTAATAGCAAAGATGTGACAAGACTGCAGAAGCATCTAAAGAAAATGTTTGCTGGAGTAACAGCTATAGATGTTGGAGAGGAAGATCGCATTGTTAGTGTGATCATTGATTATTCAGAAAAATTAATCTTATGGAATCTTTTGTAGATCACTGCACTTCACAGTCGAGAAGGCGAACGTGTAGACCTTGTGCAACCAGTGCACACCAAGGATGTGAGGATCAACGATTGGTTGAAGGCTTTAGAAGCTGAGATGAAGCATACCCTTGCGAGGTAAGGACTAGATTTGCATGATTTTTTTAAGTTACGGAATTGTGAAATTTTCAGACTGCTGGGTATGTCGTTGTCGCATTTCTCGAAAATGGATATTGAAACTGTAACACCCGATGAATACATGGAATGGTTGGATAAGTTCCCGGTAAGAGTTCTTATATTTTGAAATCCTCTCGAGCTTTAGTTGGGACCGTCCTTCTTTTTTCCTACAAAGATGGTTTTTGTTCTTAGGCCCAAGTTATCGCATTGACAGCTGAGATATGGTGGAGCAATCATATGGAAATGGCGCTATCCGATAATAAAGGAGTGGATGGAGTGGAGAAAGCTGTTTCGGCTACGCTCTCCCTATTGGCTGACTCTGTGTTGAAGGATCAACCGCCAATCAGAAGAAAGAAGATTGAAGCCTTGGTGCGTTAAATCGAAGTTGAATCTGACAAAATACTGAATTTTATTGTGTGCAACCGCCTTGAAAATAATTTTAATTGAAAATTTTGTAAAAGCAAGAGGCTTTATTATTATTCTTACGTCATTGTCTCTTAGATGTGATATCAGTGTGCAATCATACAGTCTTTCTGCAGACCATAACTTCAAATAAGCTTTAGATCACGGAATTTGTGCACAAGCGTGATACTTGCCGTAGACTGATATCAACAGAAGTGAAAAGCCCATCGGACTTCGGCTGGCTGCAGTGTATGAGATTCTATTTTGATCCAAAACAGGTATGTTTGTTGTTATAGTGGCAGTCGGTGATTATTAATGCTTGTTTAGATATACCTTTATTTTTGTGCTTTTTTT